CAGCCTCTTACTTCGCATGCCGTGTGTTGACATCGACTTGTAATCCCATGTTATTGTTAGTCATCTCCTGTTTACTAAAATGAAAATCAAATTTACAGGAAACTCATATGTTTACAATAACACGTTTGAGCAAAAATATGAAAACAGACATTTGGAATTCCTTCGACTGTCGCTCTGGTTATGGGCAGAATGAAAAGATTCGCATATAAGAAAATATAATTGTGAATAAATCATGTTATTAGGAAATTTTTGCAATTATAAATCTATTGCATTCATTTAAAGAAAACAAAAGTGCAATGAAGTCATTCCAATTAATCACACTGATTAATCACACTACAATAACAACAAAAACAGTTGTAACTTGTCCTGAAGTCAATAGTTCTCTATGCAGGGTTCTTATCAAACAAGGTCATGTGTCAATCACATCTAGGTTCGTTGCTGTTGTTAGCACCAGCTACCTAACGGCAGCTGCAACACTCGATTTAATCTCTACGTGACAATTGTTGCAGATGATAACATGACGTGACAAGCAGCGCTATACAAATGTAAAGGGAAATTTTTTTTTACCAAGAAAAACTAAATGGAAGTAGTGCAATATGACTAAACTTTATTTATACATTCTGAATGGTTTCCTGAAAATGGATCATTACTTTGTATAATCGTGTTAAAAAAGATAGGAATAATATTTCTCTAAAATATCTAAAAAAGATTTAATAACGTCCGCACAGATACATTCATCTAATCCTTAGTCAATTTCCAGGTCGACCGGACCCTCAGGGAATGGATAAGCCATATGCTCAGGAATAGATGAATAAGATGTGGGCTATATGACTCCACTGGGGGATTTTATCGCCTCTCCTGTGGGTTACTACCATAAACAGTCTTCTAAGGACTTTAACCAACGAAGGTTTTGAACCTGTCTGATATGCAGACAACGTTATAATACTTCTGAGGGGAAAGAAATCTAAGTTATTGTGCAGAAGGCCCGAGTAGGCTTGCATACATCTGGGCTAGACCAAGAGGTCTTAACGTTAACTCGGAAAAAACTGAGATATGTCTTTTCACTAGGAAGAGAAAACTTGGACACATCGATGAACCAGCCTTCCTGAACAAGATAATCAACATTTCCAATAAGTTTTAATATCTAGGTGTGATCCTAGATAGGAAACTAAATTGGAAACAACACATCCAAGAATGAGCAAACGAAGCTCATAGATGCTGGGCAACGTGCAAAAGACCTAAATGCTCAAAATGGGGTTTCATACTCTCTATTAAAAAGCGTAATTAGACCTCCTCTTACATACGCATCCGTAGTCTGGTGTACTGCAATGGATAAAATATGTAAAACAAAAACATTACAGAAAGTCCAATGGCGGAATGTGTTGTTTAATCAATTGCGATGCAATAAAAATACCAAATAGAGCTTTAGAGATGATTCTATATGTACAACCAAAACAGTTAATTCAAAAACGGTTTTGAAATATATAAACTCAAGAACTATTCTCAACACGGTCATCCGGGAGTTAGAGGTAATGAGATAGCGAACTTTCTCGCCAAACCAGTGAATTATAGTGAATTAGCAACAACTTAGATAATCACGTCACGTCTAGAGTAAAAGAAACGAGCAAAAACGCCACATATCCATAGGGAACAATAAAAGCGTAGGAAAACCCACAAAAATCCTTAGGGGCGACCCCAATGAGATAAAATCGAGGAATCTTTTAATTCTAGGTAAGGAAGAGATTAGCGAGTCTCTTTAAATGTCCAGCGCTTGCAAATATTAGATCCCAATATTTAGGTAACGACTCCAGATTATGGTAATTGAAATAAAACAGTTAAGAAATGTTGTTAATCAACTTTTTAGTCCAGAGCGCCCAACAGGCCTATACTGGCTTTAATGTATGTCTAGCAGGGCATGTGGCGATTAATTCGCTCCTCTTTTCAACCTAACCGGAACCGGGGGGTTGAGGTGGATTAACAGAAGGATTAGCTCGAGGATGTTCCCAGTCGATTGATCTACAGATTGATGATACTATTAAAACCACCAATAATCGTTTATGTCTGCTGCTTAAAAAAAAACTTTTATCGAAGAAGCTGCAAGAAAATGACACTTAGAAACCGGTATTAGGGCATCTAAGGGCATCTGGGCAGCAATCACGAGAAAAGAACAAACTCCCTTCTTTCACTTAGTAGTTCTGATTTAAGATTCGCGGTTGACATACTGATCAGACATCTGACTTCAAGATGGGATAGCAGTGTTTCTGACAATTACCAACAATTTTCACCAACAAAACATTCTCTGGTTAAACAGACCGCTCCGCTAACTGTATTCTCCATCTCTTCCATTTCTTTTTTTTTCTATTTCTCTCCTATCACCAACAGCTATTCTTTTTCCTAGGATGAACATAATGGACCAACGGTCTCCGACTGAAGCAGTTGCCAACTCATGCGCAGCTGCGCATCCTTAAACCAAACCTAGTTCCAGCAAAAAAATAACTTTTTCATGCAAAAAACAGAAATTCGGAGGAGACCCGTCCGCCGTGCGTACGTCTTCGTGATTGGCAATATTGACTACTATAGGAAAATATTAACTATTGAGTGAATAATAAAAACGATTGTAAATTCGTTAGTGCTTTTTACTTGTACTTTGAAAAGGTCTCAGTCTAACAAGCTGATGAGCTTGGGTAGATCCTCCGAGTTCCTTTAATCGATGCCGAGTAAGTCTGATAGCCGTAGGTCTAAAAGCCGCTGAGCATATACTAGCTTTTTCTAAAATCTCCTCACACTTTTTATACCCTCCACCATACTATGAGGGGTATATTAACTTTGTCATTCCGTTTGTAACTCCTCGAAATATTCATGTAGGTCCACGTCTTCATATAGCCCCCATATGACGGTACATCCCAATATTCGGTGTTTCGACGATTTTAGCGTCATTATTCACCGGAGTAGTTTCAAATTACGTATTTAGAGTTCGTAATGGGAACTACAGTCTGTGACAGAAAATTGTCTATACAGGTCTAGGTCTTCGAATATTTTGACGAGTTTAGGTACAATACCCACCGAAATTGTTTGAGATGTCGTATTCGAATTTCGTAATGGATGCTACAGCCTGTGACAGAAAATTGTCTATGCAGGTCCAGGTCTTCGTATAGCTCCGATATAACGGTACCTCCCTACATACGGTTTCTGGTGATTTAAGCTACATTATTCACCATTTATTTCAAGTTTCGAAATTGAATATGGTAATGGCTTATGACAAACAATGCCTATTTAGGTCCACGTCATATAGACCCCAATATAACTGCTGTATTCGGTATTTTTAAGATTTTAACAGAATTTTTAACGGATTTTTTTTTTTTTGAAAATTTTCAAATTCGTTCCAAATAGTGCTTTTTAACTTGTTTTATATTCTCCTTTTACCTAGCATTCAGTGAAGTAGCTTCCTCCTTTTCTAAACTTATAACCAGTAGTGGGATTCTTTATAGGTATTTTAATTTTACCGATTTTTGTCGGTAACTTGAGAAATGAGTTAGAGAATCTCACTACATGAATCGTTATGGCTGTATCTAAAAGTCATCTATTCAATCTCAAATCCTTCAAAGGCATTTATGGTGAATATAACCGACTTGGGATCTCTGGGCCTTTGTTAGTGGTCTATTGTTCTTTAGTATAACATTTTTGACAGATCAACAAAACGCTTACACAAACAATATTTCCAAAAGGCGCGAATAACCATATTGCAGTAATAAGTCTAAACAATTGGCTATTTACACACATGAAAACACACTTGGAGCTGCAATAGCGTATCACCATACCATTTCACTGGAAGCTAATCATTGTTTATTTTTAGTTGTTGCAATTGTTCGAAGATAAATACAAGAAACAAATAAACGCTTACATTCCTACAAACACACATATGTTCTGCATTTCATCGCCGAGCAAAACAAATAAAATTGAAGTCTTGTGCCCACACTCACTTCAAGAATACATCGATCGGTGGGGGAGAGCGTTGACAAGAATACGTGTTTGTTTGTGTTATCTTAAGTACTGTTTTTCTTAGTGTGATCGCACGTATTTGGTGTCCTTTAACTCAACTCAATTGCATGTGACGAAGATCATAACCATCATCATTGGCTCTGCTAAATACCAAATACACAAGAAAAACGACCAAACGCAACGGCAACGGCAACGGCAACTAATTTCTAATCTAATCGTTGGTTAAATATTTGATTGTTTGTTTTTCCCCCGCCGTTTTTTGGTTGTTGTTGATCTTTTTCATGTACAACAGATGCTTAAATTGTATTCTCAAAAGAACCTCCTGCATTTCCAGTATGATGGTGCGAACTCAAATAAAGAAAATGTTCCAAAAACATATTTAAAAATACACTTGTCATTCTCCGGAACAAGAGAAGGAGCAAGAATGTTGAAGTCATGGAATGTGAGCCAATTAAAAAGGTGATGATAGTGGTCGTTCGCCTCAAGTGCTCACGTATCTCTTATCAGTTGAATGAGGTAAATTATAAACTAATATTTGTCACTCTTACAAAAAACCGGAGGGTAGAGTTGTATGTATGTACACATATAAAGGTGCAATTAGACAGAGTAGAAAAGCAAGCAGCATTGGTCCCGTGATGGGGTTTTTAATCTAAAAGTGTATCATCAGCAATGAGATTACCTTTTAAAATTCTATGTGATTTATTAAAATAAAATTCGACGACCCACAACATGGAATGATCGGCAAACGACATAGCAAACACTTTCATGATCGTTTGAATCTATGACATCTATCATGCAATATGAGAACACCCTATTTAGTAATACATCATAAATATTAAATCCCAACACTAAATACACTTGTCACCTGTCCGCGGCATACATAGAACTTGATAAATATTTGCACTAAAATACCTGTTAAAAAGTTCTGTGTACAGAAAAGCGGCGTTTGCCATCGAATTTTAGTAATAAATAAAAATTCAAAGTGCTCACATTAGAATTTCTGTTATGTGTCAGTGTATAAAACAAATAATTAACAATTTAGTTACGAATTAAACGTTTAAACGGAATGGTTGTTTGTGTAAAAGTTCCAATGAGATCTACACAATTTCTAGTGGAGTTGGATGATGTTGGATTGATTCATATTTTTGGGTATGTTGTCTCATTGCAGTTCAGTGGTTGTCGTACTACTTTGTGTGTTCAGTGGGAAGAAATCGTCGATGGAAATTAGTCATCACCGTAATGAGATTGATTGACAACCACCAGACACATGGATGACACCTTGCCACCGATTCACGTACATTTCTTAAATATATTTGTACAGCATACACGTACTATTCGGAAAGATTATAGTGATTTATAGATCCTTTTCTCTTAACCAAAGCTAATGGGAACCAAAATACTGCATATATCTAACAATTACTAAAAAAGATGCATTGCCTTCCACATCAAATATGTATTATCACTGGGAGTGGCAAGCTTCCGAATATGTCGAAATTTTTATAGGCATACAAGAGGTCAAACCATGCCAAAATTAAAAAAAATATTTAAAAAAATGTGGCTAAAATCAGAAAAATACCCAATATGTATCTGTAGTATCTATCTGTACCAGTTTAGGCCTTTTTCTGTCATAGGAGGTGCTGCCGAAAATATGTGTTCTAAACTATATTGTAAATTTTGTTTACCTAACTAGAGTTGATCTTATATAGATAGCTTGTTTAAACCTGACTCTTACTATAAAATATGAAAACATCTCTGACACTCAAAATCTTGAATGAAAAATTATTTCAATTAATCAAGGGTATGTTACTTAAACGTACTATAAGTTTGTTGAAACACACGCACATCATAACAACCTCTGGAGCAAGTTGAGTTTATGGGCTATGTCCGGATCAATTTGAAATTTTTACCGCAAGTAGGAATTTTTAGCCTGATTAAGCGAAAGTATTTTTTGCGGGAGAAATACCCGGTTATTTGACCCGTAAGTGCGGATACAAAATCCGATTTTATCCGGTTGTACAAAACTGATATCTACAACAAGTGGTCATATAATGGGGTTATTGGAACAGTTTCCCGAGCAATGCTAATGTGTACTTTTTGAAAAACCCTCAAAAACTCGAAAATGAATCCATTATGGGATAATTAGATCTACTTGATACATTATATCCTACATTTTTGCCGTTCCAAAATGGTACCACATGTGCTGATATCTCTTGTAGTTCCAAAGATATTAGTGATGCAAATCATGAAATTGAGATTTTCTCCACTAATATCTAATTAGTATCTAAGTTTCTTAAGTAAGATTTTTTCCTCCGGGATACGTCCAACAACGGCTACGCGATCCATAGTTTTTTTAAACATTGTAATTTTTGTAAGTAGTCGGTCTTCAGTCGGGGCTTGGAATTTTCTCTTCTTAGGTAGGTCCAACACCATATCATATGACCAATTGTTGTTTTTCCACAAGCTTTCAAATTATACCCATTTTTTACATATCAGTTTTGTAGAACCAGCTAAAATCAGGATTTTGTATTCGAACTTCCGGGTCGAGTAACGGGGTATTTCCCCCACGAAAAAAATACTTTGCCTTAATCAGGTTAAAGGATCTACACGTGTTAAAAATTTCAGGTCAATCCGAACATAGTTCTTAAACTCAACTTAAGCCAAAAATACTATTCCAAATGGGTGTATTCTGTTATAGATCGTTTTCGCCACACCAAATCAAATTATTTTTTAGAAATTTTTTTTAAATGCTTCTTCAATGTTCACAAGTGCTGATGCACCTGTGTTCTTGTACCAAGGCCCGATATAAGACATAAAATCCAAATACGCAGCTTGTATGACCTCATAAAAATGCAAAGATTTCTAGTTAAGGTTTCAGAATTAAAAAAAAAAAAAACAAATCCCAGATCTACTTACTTGATGTCTTCAATAAAATTATCACCAACATTTGCAGCTCCAATTTGATAACTCGAACTTTTCTCATGTTGATTAACCAAATGATTGCTAAACTGTGGCATTGGTTGGTGCATTTGCTGTTGATGCGGTTGAGAGGGAGGAGCAGGTGTAGGCACGTACATTTGTTGCTGCTGTTGTTGTTGCATTATATTTTGTTGACATTCAATTGGAACGGAATATGGTTGCTGTTGTTGTTGTAATTGACATTGTGATTGTTGTTGGGATTCCGCATTCCCATAATACGATGTCATACCCGCCAATTGTTGATTATTATCCACAATCGCCGCTGCATTATTATAAGTTAGTGGTCCTCCGCCTTGCATAGCGTGCAGCTGATTGGATGTTGTTGAATTTACAAAATTACCCATGTATTCACCCGAATTGGAATTCTGTGTCACTGTCTCGGCCTTGGTGTGCATTATTTCATTTTCATTTGTACCCAAAATTAATGACCCGTCTGGATTTTGTGAATATTGTAAATTATTGCCGAGATTGGGATAGTTGGTGGGCCACGAATTCCACGATGCATTACCGGAAGCGGTGTTCAGTTGTGAATTGCTAGAGGATGTGAAATTCGAGTTTATATTGATGGCACTACATCCATTGGTCAGCTGTTGCATGCGTTGATTGTTTTGCCTTTGCTTCGCCAGTTGTCTGCACTCCAGTTTATGTGTTGCCCAATCACGGTGCTGGTGGTCTGTGGAACAATAGTAGATGCACTTACATTTGGCACAACGCAATAGTTTCTGGGTTGTGCCGCAGATTGCACATTTGGGCGGCTGTGGATGTTGGTTCAGAGACGTCGGCATCACTTGTTGCAATGTCGCAGTTGCCGTTAAAGACGATGCCTGTTGCGGCTGTGGCAACAACATTACTTGCTGTGTATCCATTTCAATGGGGCCGCCAAACAGTTGTGTTGTCTTGTTGTTGCTTACTTTTAACTTTCAGTATGACTTTCGCTTAGTGTTTGTCCTTGTACTGCCCTTTCTCATTATTTGTGTAACGTGCAGTTAGTCGACTGTAAGTGTAATGTAGATGTAACACTTGTTCTCAATATGCTATCGAATTAGTTATTGATTCTGCTAATAAGCTAAAATCAAATTAGAATTAAAATCCTATTAGGCTTTTTTAAGATCACATATGCTATCACACTTTGACTTTTTGTTTTGTTTTGACTGTCTTAAGAAACCAACCAGCGTTCACTTTACATTTGTGTAATCTGGTTCTCGTTCGCAACTATTATTTCTCTCTTGTTGACACACACTTGCACTCAATTTAGTAAATTCTTGCAAATGTTGGCATTTATAATGCGTGAACACATCGACTATGCCTCCGTTCTACCCGCTCGATTATAGTGACTTTTTGCTTGTTCTTCTTAACTCTTTAGTTTGTCCCGATAACCTTGACAGGGGACTCGCTGTCAATTAGGGGATAAAATAATGTGTGCCGTTGTTGTTAGTTGAGCTGGCGCTGTGTAGTTGTTGATATCGTCGACATCATAGGCACTTGTCTGCAGCAAAACAGCTGTTTCATTCTTAAGGATTCAATATGTATGTGATTTATAATCTAGTATGCCAGTAAAACAGCCGAACCGGCTTTGCTGGGATTTAAATCTTTCTTTTCACCCAGGAATTGAATAAATATGCATATACACAAATTATTCCAACACTATTTTTTTATTAGCATTCACTTCATGACTTCTGCGCTGACATTTTGTTTTTGCACATTGACTTGTACATGCTTTATGATTATTAATATTTTACATTGGTTTTGTTGTCATTGGCGACATGTGTTACTGGGAATTTCGTTGTTATCCAAATTCAATTAAGGAGATGCAAATGTAATTAGAATAAAGGAATTGTAAATAAAAATAACAAATTATTACGCGAATAAGAAGAAGAATAAATTTTCACTTTGAATTGATATTACGTATTGCTATACGTCATGTCAATGGAGACGTAAATAACACACACACGCATACAATGCAATCTTTTACGGATAGAAATCACTAGACTTTTGACTTTTTTGTTCCAATTTCTATATTTTACTATTTACATTGAACTTTATACAATTGTTCATGCATTCTTGCATCTTATATACAACGAGTGAGTTGCGGATTTTATACCGATATGCAAGGATTTTAATCAAAAAATAAAATTTAACTTTATCCCCGAAATAGAAACACTTCCTTGCAGCTTCTTTTTATTTTACTTTATAACATTCATTGCGGATTGATAACAAACTTACAGCAAACCATGCAAAACTTAAGCGCTATGAAACTCCAGTGGGAATTAGTAAAGATAGTTTCGTACAGTTTGAAAGCTATTGGAAGGAATTTAAAAAATTTTCTAAGCGGCAAATGTAAAACAAAATTCAAACAGAAATATATTTATTTTTTTGTATATTATGTCGATATTTATATATTCTACTTCTCGACAAGTTATGGTGAGAAAACATAAGATGCTCTTTTGACTGGTTTAAGTCATCGGCTGTCTTCTTCGTAAAAGAACAAAGACTCGTGGAGTAAATAAGTTTAAATTTTGGACCAAAATGGAGATTAGTCGACCTAAAACTCTTTTGTTCCTTTACAAAGAAACCAATCAATACTTCACCTAGCAAAAAACATATTCTATGTGTTCTCACCTTTATAATAAAGTTGCGAATACAAAGAAGGTACTTAAGGTAAGAATACATAAAACGCTTTTTTGACCGTCTTAAGTCATTGGCTGGCTTCTTCAGACAAGAACAAAGAAGCATAGCGCCAGAACAGAAATGAGTCAACATAAAACTCTTTGTTCCTCTATGAATAGGTCAGCCAGTCAAAAAAGCGTTTTATGTATTCTCACCTTTAGTTTTCGCCCACGAAGTCATTTGTTCTTTTTGCTTTTTTTTTTTCAAAATAATTCCGAATACAAACGATTTTTAAAAATGTTTTTACAATATATTCATTGGATTTATAAATAAAAATATTGACAGTGACATGTCAAATGTATAATTTTTAAGAAAAAATAATAATAATTATAATAATATAACCATTTCGTAGGTAAAAGAAGTATATATTTGGTTTGTTCCAGAACTGTAGGAATGGAATAGTTTTTACTACGACAACCTATTTTCCCTTTATGATATCGAAGAAAATGGCAAAAGTGGTAGATTCTTGTAGGTTCTGGAACAAAGGAATAATGTGCCGAAATTGAACTAAAAGTTTTTTTTTTGATTCCGTAGAGGAACAAAGACGTTTTAGATTGATTTAGTAGGATTTTAGCCTTATTCTCCTTGGATATTTTCCGAAGAAGCCAGCCGATGACTTAAACCATATATTTATATTTTTATATATTACATTTCATGGTACAATGAAGAGAAGGTAGGTCAACTTTGAAAAAATTACAAGTATAGAGGTCTACCTGTTTGGCTTGTAATGTCAGAAATAGTATCAAAACAATAACAAAATCAAACAACTTGTTGCATTTATTTTGAATAAATAATTGAAAACCGCGAAAACTGAATGAAAGGTCAACACTTCTTTTCAAAACCAGGTTCTATATATCTCTAAAGGATTATTTCGCTACAAAAACTCTAGATTTTGTCGATGCATACGATGAAATTAACATTTTGAAAACATCCGAATTTGAATGTTTTCTGAACATTTTTTTGTTATTGAAAAAAAAACACATACATAAACAAATAAAGATGACATATTAAGCCAAGAAAATAAAAAAATTGAAATCATATGGTATCATAGCCCTACCTTGATATCATTGTACCATGTTACATTTGGTCCGTTCCAGAACTACAAAAATGTAAAAGTTTTTACTACGATTACCAATTTTCCCTTTTTGATATCGAAGAAAATTGTAAAAATAGTAGATTCTTGCAGATACTGGAACAGAGCAATTATTATTAAAAGAAACTAAATATTTAAGACTTGGAATTAGTTCCGATAGTTCGATAAAGTGATAAGTTCTATTGCACAAGATTCTGGAACAACAAAAATCTTTTGGGATCTGCCGCCTTATCAGTTCTGGAATCGGGGAAGTCAGACATATGCACTCGGGAAAATGACTGAGTTTACGGCCAAAATAATTCTTACAGACATTGAGGGGACTACAACATCAATTAGCTTCGTAAAGGTAATCATTTTCGCGTTGGTGTAAATATCAGGAATTGCATTTTGTTTAATTTTACAGGATAAACTCTTTCCATATGCCAAGGAAAACACCAAAGACTATTTGAAAGAGACATGGCTTAGCAATGAAACTAACGAAATAGTTCGAGAACTATTGGATCTACCGGAATTTGAAGCATACACGAAAGAAGTGTCCAAAGTGGCCAATGAATCCCTTGATGTCTCCACCGTAGATGCATTTGTTAAATATTTAATTGATAAAGATTTGAAGTTGGGACCGTTGAAGAGACTGCAGGGATTAGTGTGGGAAAAGGGTTATGAAAGCGGTGACCTCAAAGGCCAGTAAGTATAATTTTACATGATATTCTTTAATGAATTATAAAACATCTATTTGTTTCTTGGTTTTCTTATCAGTGTTTACCCCGATGTACCGGAAGCATTTAAACGTTGGACTGAAGCTGGTCTTCGTTTGGCCATTTACTCTAGTGGCAGCATAAAGGCACAACAACTTTTGTTTGGTCAAACCGAGTTGGGTAATCTCTTGCCGTATATTTCAGGGCACTTTGATACAACAAGTGGCCACAAACAAGAACAACAATCGTATGTTAACATAGCCAAGGCTCTGGGAGAAGACCCGTGCAATATTTTGTTTTTAACCGATGTTGTTAAAGGTATGAACGTTGTTAATGTTTAAATGTCCTTTTATGAATATAGGTTTTTTATATGATTTTAGAAGCGGAAGCTGCTCGCAAGGCCGGCTATCAGACTGCCATACTCGCCAGACCTGGTAATGCTCCTTTGACGGATGATGATAAAACGCAATATACTGTTGTGTCTGATTTTGAATCTCTTGCAATAAGTTTGAAACAAACCACGTGATAATAAAATATACTGTTAACATCTAATTTTACTTTGTTGTTTATTTACACGTTCCAGAACTAACCTTATTTAATTGTTATATACAAGTCGTAGTCTTTCTTTATACATTGTAATCTTTGTATCAAACAGGCCATTACATCCTTACAGTAACCCTTGTTGTCGTCGTTAAGCAGGAACCAAAAAATAACACCACAAACAAACCTAGTATCGGGGTTAGCTTACCAAACAGGTTTCAAAGTTTCTATGGCAACAAAAAATTTGTTTATTAGCAGCAAGAAAATTGGAGCTGAAATAAAAAAAATTGTAGTAATTTTCAAGCAATTAAATTGATTCGTATTAAAAATTTGAATCCAAAATGGCATCATTTTTGCACTCTTGCTTAAAAGTACCCATCGATCCTTGTAATAACTGCCCAGCTCCTGTCTATAATCGACCCAAAATGTACTTGGGTCGTTTGTCGATGACACCTACTGCAGCCAGTACCACCTTGCTTACAACAAGCAAAACATGCAACTCGGATTTAATGGATGGCAAATGGTCTTGTAATGGTGGCATACGTCCATTGACAAAATTCTACGATAGTATACCAGGTTTTTTTTATAAAAGTTCCTAATAGCATATAACATATACGACATCTTTTATTTCATGCAGATTATGGTGAATTGACACATTTAACTGAAGAGGAATTCTACTCCACACTGGATACTTTGAGGAGTACCTGCCGTGAATTTAAAACCAAACCCACAAATATATGTTTCGCCGAAGAACGTTGCAGTAGTAGCACAACAACGAGTTCTTCACTCTCTTCCCATTGCCAGAGTAAAAAATCTAAAAAGTCCAAAAAGAAGAAAAAATCCAGTGCCAAACATCAACGTTCAAATATTTCCGAATCTCACGAATCAGAGAGTATCATCGATTTGACAAGTAGAAATAAATCAATACGGATTTCAAATTCAGCATACACTCCACCTGGAAGTAAACCCCACGAGGGCGGATTTACCTTCAAAAGGTTGACAACTTTAATGTATTTTGAATTGGTTTCATAGTTTTTTAATTTTAGTTTAAAAAAGGAATTGGAGGAGGAAGTTGAAACGTTCAAGAAATCTCTAAGAGAATACGAATCGCAATTCAAAAGACCATCTGTAAGCAGTTCATCCCTGTTGAATAGAAATGAATCTCGCTCGTTTAGCCGATGTTCATCGAAAGAAAAGGCAGATATTAACGAAAAGGACGCTACTGAAAAGTAAGTTAATACATATTTATAGTTAGTATTAAGGCTGTGTAACCGAGTGGAATCTAAAGGGATAAATACTTGGTCTGATTAAAGCATCTACTTCATTGTGATAGCTGTTCGTCCACAGTTCACACTATTCATCAATTTTTATTAGCTCGTCATCCTTTTCCTTAATTTTTTAGTGTCCTAGTAACTATAGCAGACGGAAATCCGATTTTAGTATTTTAGGGTAAATTTGTATGCTTTAAGAGCAGCTTTGGCATTTAGGGATAAAAATATTTTAATAGATGGATTTCTGGGTTAATTGGTAAAAATGGTAATTGAGTGTTGACTTGCTTTAAAGGGTATTTATCTTACGATTAACAATTGAGATTGTTTTTCTTTTGTCTCAGAAGTACCTATTTTTAGAGAATGAATCACCTCTTTCTGATAAGGAATTAGACGTCACTGTCATACCCTCAACTCAGAGAGCTGAGTCATTCCTAAAATCCACCGGAAACACCCAACCTGGCTCTCAGGTGAGGTCAAAACTTGAGGTGAAGGGTGCCATTGCGGAAGGTGATACATCCCTATCAACCGCAGTGACTCCAGCCCAAAGGAGGCAGATGACAGAGAGAGAAACGACCCTAATCAGGGCGAACCTGAAAGCAGTGAGGTCGGTGGTCGACCTTATCAAGAGGGCGAGCCCGCTTGTGAACGCACCCTCGTATAAGAGTACCGTGGTGTAGAGGAGAATTCCAGTTGATTGAACAACTGAGTGCAAACCACCTGCGAAAAAAAACGCAATATGCGGAAGAAACAGAAGCATATATTTAGTTGCAACACCTGAAATTCGCCATTTTTAAAATTATAGCGGAATTTTTAACGGATTTTTTTACATTTTGCTAATTCCTTCTAAATAGTGGAGTTTATTAAAAGTTCAGCCAATCGAAATTAGCATATTTTTTACTTGTTTAAAATCATTCTGCCCTGTATTGTATGAATCATTCTCTATAAAAATAGTGAATGAATAGGGCTGAAATCTCTGTTGGTATATGGAATTGAAATATGGTGTTTTTTCGGAAATGTGTGCTATAACTGAGTGAAGGAAAATAGCTGAAATCCTGAAAATTGTTATAGATGACACTGTCGGTGCCTGTGGTTAAGATGTGGAATGTGGAATTTGGAATTGGTTACTAAAATTGTTTGAAAAGTTCTAAGTGGTATTGGGTGAAGGCATAGATATAAAATTTGATATGAAGATTACTGATGGTATCTATGTTTGAGATTTGGCGGTGGTTTTGAAATGCATCTTATATTTGTACGAAAAAACGAAATGGCACCAAACTGTTGTAACTGTAGTTGGTGTCTATGGTTGAGACATGGAACGGTTTTGCAAATGAGCACTAAAACTATTAGAAAATTATTAAATAGTAATAAATTAAAATTGAAGATGGACTTTTCGCTGATGAAGTAGCAGGACCTTGTTAGTAATGTCATATCTCTTTTTATCTAAAATCTTTCAGAGTACCTGTTAGAAGCAATTTCACCTCAACTTTGCGGGAACGACTACGAAAATCATTGTCTTTCAATGACATACATTCCATTACAGAACCGATTGAACTGAAGGAACTCCGCGATAAAACAAAAACATTGGAAACATTGTCGTATAAAGGAAATAAGGATGGTCATAAGGCTGGCAATAAACTAAGTAATTACTTTGCGGAAAAACCAGATGGCGGAAGGTAAGTATGCAACCGAAGGAGCATCTAGAACATAAGGTTTCAGAAAATGTTCTTAATTTTATAGAAACATACCGAAAATTGTTGTTGAAACGCCGACAACGGATACATCTAGCGAGCGAGAGCAGAGTTCAATGAAATCAAAGAATAAATCCAATGATGATAACTACAAAGTACCTTTTAAAATTTTTGATTTGGATTCATCGAAGAAGTCGCATTGCCGAAAGGTGAGTTTAAAAACAAATTCCAATCGATGAATTGATAATAGTTTAATTCTGTTTACAGCAAAACACTCCATCTCCTGTACATCCAGTGGCCCGGCCGAATCTCGCTGCCACCTTAAGAGTGGAGTGTTCCAAAAAGAAAGTAAAGGAGCTAAAGAACAATTGTACCTATCACGATAAGACACCGCAAGTGGATTGGGAAGTGCGAAAAACACCAGCATGGAAGACGTTATCTTTAAAGTAAGAAAATTTGAATATCCTTTTGTCTGAATTCATTATTTAGAAATTCTTAAATATATATATTTATATTCTTTTAGTGAAACCCACCAAGAAATAATCAAACTGCGGCTGGCTACAAGAAAAGCTGAACAAGCTTTGCAAAAACGTGAATATGAATTAAACATGGAATTGATGAGACAACGTGTTAAGTCGGCACCTTTGCTCTTAGAGGGTCCAACACACTGGGGACCAAATGTCGGCAAATTGACACACAACTGTCAACGAGAGGGCAGACGCCATATGTGCCAAACGAATCAACGCAAACGAACGAAGAAAAACTCTTCCCGGTCGTATAGTTGCAGACGTGGCCTATTCCATCATTCTGATCCCGGTGTAGATTATGATCATTTCTTGGAAACCTCAACAACGCCGAATGCCAATAGATCCCAGGACTCAAGTCGAATGTCTCAAAAATTGAACACTTTGCGTAAAATATACGGTGGTGCTGGCGGAAAATCTCAATCACGTTGTTCGAATCACAGTACAAACACCCACATTTCTACCAAATCATCGGCGTCGAAGAAGAAATCGCAAGAAAAGAAAACTGTAAAATCTGAAGAGAATTTTGTAATGATTGAAAATGATAGTGCCGATGAATTGTCCAGTTTGGACAGGGCCTTTTTGTAGTTAATTCATGTGGAAAATAGTTTAAATCTTATTAAAGAATAAATATTGTAATAAAGTGGACTTGATAAACTGTGTCAGAGTAGGAGTGCGATTGTTTCGATTTTGGGGAAACCTCCCTGGGTATGTTTTTTTCTAACTGCCTTACTTACAGCTTATATTTTTTGGAGTTATTGCAACTTAACAATGGTGGTTTCATTTAGATTTTTCGATCTAAGCGCTGACCCAATGGACTATTCTTGTTGTTTTGTTTGTTGTTTATGGACAAAACCAGCTACATTTTCCGCCGTAGAGATCGATCGTTAAGTGTTTATTGATTCCATTTTAGTGCTATTTGATATTTGATATATGTGTGGCCTATACGAATACGTGGACCTGCAGAGACAATTTTCTGTGACAGTTTGTAATACTTATTACAAAAATAAAATACTAAATTTGAAACAATTCCGGTGGGTAATGTCGCTAAAATCATCAAAATACCGAATAAAGGAAGGTGCCGTTATATGTGGGCAGTACGAACACGAGGACCTGCATAGACAATTTTCTGTCATACCCATTACGAACTTCAAATACGAAAATTGGAACAATTCCGGATATAATATCTGTAATAACATAAAAATACCGAATATTGGTAGGTACCGTTATATAGGACGCTATACGAAGACGTGTTGTCATAAGTTGCAGTACTTGTTAAGATCTTCCAATAAGAAATTTAACAAAATTCTATTGAATAATGGGGCTAATATCATAAATTTTACCGAATATCGGGAGGTATCGTTATATGGGGAGAATACATAAACCTCTTTTTTAAATGGCTTAAGCCATCTGCTGGATTTTTCGGAAAGGAACAAAGAAGTTTAGGGCCAAAATCAAACTAAGTCCACCTAAAATTCCATTGTTCCTCTGCGAAGAATTCAGCTATTGACTTAAGCCAGTCGAAAAAGCGTTTTATTTGTTCTCACATTTAACGGTTAAATATCTAAAGGTGAGAATACATAAAGCGCCTTTTCAATGGCTTAAATAGCCGGCTGGCTTCTTCGGAAAGGAATAAAGAAGCTTAGTGCCAAAATCAAACTAAGTCAACGTTAAACTCCTTTGTTCTTTTACGAAGAAGCCAGCCAATGTCTTAAGCCAGTCAAAAAAGCCTTTAAGGAGAGAATACATAAAATGCTTTTTTGAATGGCCTAAGTTATCGGCTGGCTTCGAGTACGCACGGTGCGCATATTGCCCATAGGGTCGAATATGCGCATAATTCTAGAAACAAAAAAAAAACATAAAATTTGCAAATGTCTGTATCAATAAAACATTTTTTGACATGTCTCTCTTCTGTGGAGTCCAAATTGGAATTTTCCAGAAACATCTTTCTGAGAGAGTAGGGGAGTTTTATTCTCTTTTGGAAGGAAAATGCAAAAAGTAAACAGACGGTATTCCTGCAGAAACTAGCAACTAATCAGCTGTTTTGTCAAAACAAACCAATTTGTCCAATATTAAAAGAATTAAAAAAGGAAGCCTTACCAATTTTACAAATTTTATAAACAAAAAGGAAATTAGCAATAAAACAAAAATATGAGCAATAAAAAAAGATAGATTTGATGTGTTCTCCGGAATCCTTTAAAAGTGTTGCTAATGGCGTTTGTCTAAAAATGTTGGAAATAGTCTTTAATTTTCATATTACATATTAATATTTACGTTGTTCACATTTTGTAAAGTTTTTCTCCTAAAACAATTAAAGTGTAAGTACATAAGAAGCTTAAGTCATGGCTAGGCATATTTTATGACATTTCATAAAGGGATTGCAGAGCCACACTTAAATCCTGCCGTAAATTTCCAATATAATTTGACATCAATATGTCTAGCCATGACTTCAAGCTTTTTGTGTACTTGCACCTTTGTGTACTTGCATAAAAAGAAATAAACAAACAATAGAAAACAATTTATTGAATGTCAATGGATGATAAGAAGCAATGCTGAAGAATACAGGTAGTCTCATCAACACACCTGCTGGAACAATGAATTGTCAAACCGATTTTGGAATTGAAAATCTTGAATGAAAATTTATTGAATTTTGAAAAAATTGTTGAAAAATGCTTATTATAAAAGCCTCTGATTTGCGTCCTAAAGGAAAACATATAAAAATCTATTTATTATTGACAAAACATTTTAAATTTTTTGACATAACAATGTTCCAAAGTTCCAACCTCTCTTTTTTGCAGAACTTTCGGGTTAACAGACGACTTCCAGTAACAATTTGTAACAATTGTTACAAATTTTAGAGTAACCAGACACACCTATTATAAATGTCGATATTTTCTGAAAAAGTAGAATACATACATAAATAAGTTTTTATGAAAAACACGTTTGAAAGAAAAGAATTATTTTTTCTATTCATATTTCGTGTCAATTGGTTCAAATTTCCATAAAAAAGGAGAACTTTAACGTTTTTCTCGATTGTAAAAAATAGTTATCGATAAAATATCGATAGACTGTGAATGCCATCGACATTTTGTCAGCTCTTTTTAAAAAACATATGTTGATTCATATGGTGAGAAAACATATGTTGATTTCTCTTAATTTAGAAAATTAGCCGATCAAAATTGTAGGCAATATTTATTCATTAATGCTCTGTTCCTGTTGCAAAATATTTTTATATTTTGTTTTAATTTAATATTAAATATTTTATATACCAATATTATATATGGTCCGTTAGGGGGCAAAATACCTAGAATTATTGACAATGTTTTGATTTTTTGCTAGAGCGAGTCGACTTTCGATTAATCGCTTTTTGATGTTGAAAATTAAAAAATCGCAAAGTCGACTTTTTGTAATCGATTTTCGATTTAGAAATCATAGATCTCAGTAGACATTTCATTTATTATTGCATGAAACGTCAATAAGCGAATGTCGAAAACGGAAAGCGGAACGGAAACGTGAAAAAGTTACCAATTGTTTTGTGTTTATAAATTTGACCGTGTACGTTAGTTGTATCGTCGTCTTGTTTTGTGTTTGTATAAAATATAAAGACAAACAAAAAAAAAAAAACAAAGAAATAATTAGTGACAAAGCAAAAAATAAATAACGTCTCACGACACATATTGCTTGCGAAAGCAATAAAAAAACATAGGTAACGGTACGGACTGGACCGATACTTTCGTTCGAGCAATATAACAACAATAACAAATAAAAAAGAACAACGTCACCGACATCATCAACTATGAGATTTTATTCGTTTGGAGCAACAACTGTTGCTCTTCTGCTGGCATTTGCTGTGATTGCCAATGGTCAAGAAGCTGAGGTAAGTGTTAAATTTTGGAACCTTTTTCTCTCACCTGTCAGATTGACTGTGTAGAAGTGCGGAAATATGAAATTCCAATTGGAAAAAATTACTAACTATTGTTTATGATTGGTGACTGATAGAATAGAGTGTCGCTAATGAAACTAAGCTTGAGTTTATTACGTTTTGCTTTACAGGCGCACACATTTACACACTTTTGGTTTAATATATATATTGCACATATGCATAAACTTACACAAACTGCAACTAAATCAAAATCGATTTTATTTACACAACTAATATCATATATTTGATAATGCATAACACAACATTTAGTCGCTTTTTATTGAGGCACACCGACTGCGACTGCTGTATTGAAATTGACAGATGAATTGATTTGAAATGGACAAGTGATAATGGAATTACATTGTTCGCCACCGCTCTCCAGACACTGCAAAACGAAGAGCTTGTAGCTGCTTTAAGGTTATTTGTTTATTGTTTACACTTTCGTACTTTCGTTATTTGCGTATTTTCTAATATAAACAAATAGAGGCAATTTAGAGTTATCATGAGAATAATCTTATCGCTAGCGTCGCCTACTAATTGCTGGAGGTCGCCACAACAGGTTTCTTTGTTACGATTGCATTGCATTGTTTGAATGAATATATTGTTCATATCTATGATATTGTAGATGATGTTCTTAATATTAAGTGCCTATATAGATTAGCAAAGCATATGATCTTTCTTTTTTTATACACTCCACCATTCTATGGAGGGTATATTAGCTTTGTCATTCCGTTTGTAACTCCTTAAAATATTCATAATAGACCCTGGATCAGCGTAAAATTTTAAGACGATCTAGCATTGTCCGTCTGTCTGTCTGTTGTAATCACGCTATATTTCGAACGAATTGAGCGAATTTTACATACATGCATAGTTTACCCGTAGGCAGGTTAAGTTCGTAAATGGGCCATATAACGGTGCCTCCTGATATTCGGTATTTTCATGATTTTAGCGAAATTATATACCGGAATTATTTCAAATTTAATTTTTAATGTTCGAAATGGGTACTACATCCTATGACAAAAATGTTTGTATGCAGGTCCACGTTTTCGTATAGCCCCCATATAACTGTACCTCTCAATATTCGGTATTTTGATGATTTCAAAATATCGTTTCAAATTTCGTATTGGATGATCTTAATGGGTACTACAACCTATGGCAAAACATTTCGTATGTTTATATACATATATATATAACGGTACCTTCCGATACTCGGTATTTTCATGATTTTTGCGACATTATTCATCGGAATTGTGACACATTTCCTATTAAAAGTTTGTAATGGGTACTACATCCTATGACAAAAAATTTCATATGCAGGTTCAAGTCTTCGTATATCCCCCATATTAGATACCTCCCGATATATTCCCCATATAACGGTTTTCGTTTAAGTTGTAGTTTTCATATATTTTTTGAAAATTTTCAAATTCTTTCCAAATTGTGAAGTGTTTTAAAAATTCGGTCCGGCCGAACTTAGCTGCTTTCAAACTTGTTTATGTCTGAATGCGCAAGTTAAAATTGTAATGTAACGACTAATATTTACATATTCGTTATTTGAAAATATTTTGAAATCTTTTGCAATTTACTTGGCCAGATTTGTAGGTGTTATCTAGATAGTATTTGAGCAAATTTTCCTAAAGATTCACTTTCCAGTCCAGTTTGAAAATTGCCCGAATTTTTAATTATTTCTCAACGATTTTACAGTCATTATTGGAAGTAATTTTCTAATTATAGAAAAATAAAACACCAGATTTTGCTTTGGAAAAAAGGAAAATCTTTGTAGGCAACAATATCTTGATAATAGGTGGAATATTTTGATTCAAAATAGGTTCGCCTTAGTTCATGCTAATTATGTTGCAAAACATTACTGGCTTCCTTAACATGCAAGCCTCATTTCGAATCGGCTTCAGCACTAACGAAATAATTGCAGAAAACTCTAAATGCCGGAACACGTTGCATTCAAAGTTAGAGTTTCCATTTTCCACGTACCGAAAATAGCTGTTATATTTGTTTATATTACGGTAGCGTAGTATTTGGATATTAGGGATAGGACCCTATCATCTATAACTTGCTAAGGGAATATACGAATAAGGTTTTACTTAGTGTTTCCTTTTTCAAAGTGGTCTGGGAGACCTTTTGTCTTTTGGAAACATTCGATGCTGTAGCCAATCGATACGGGTCGCCGGTCGAGTTCCTTAACAGCTTTTTTCTTTATGTACAAATGGGATTTGATGAAAGGCTCTATGTTTGTTATTTATTTATCCGTGATCATCCGGTATTCAACATGCAAGAAAAGTTATAATTCTTTTCTTTTGATTCTATGACCCTGAATTCTACCAAAGTGAAAAACACCCAAAACGACTTCATTTTTACCTTTTAGAAGGCTTCCTCTGTCTCTAAAGTAAAGTTGACATTTTTTTATAAATTCTTCAATAAAAAAATCAACTCCTGGAATGCTGAATGAGATAACTATCATCGTCCTTTTATACGAGAAAATAAATGCCCAGATGAAGATCGATTTTTTTACTCCAGATTTATACACATCCCAGATCATTCCTAAAATTGAATATAGTTGTAACTGTTGGTGTCTGTGGTAAAGATATGGAGGTTGTGTTGAAAATGTGTACTATTTTTGTTCAAAAAGTATTAAGTGGTACTAAATTGGATATTGGGTGAGGGAATAGAGCTGAAATCCTGAAATTTGATATGGATGTCACTCTTGGTGTCTGTGGTTGAGAGAAGGAGCTGGTTTCTGGGTATGCGTACTATAAACGTACGTACAGTGCAAAATACCACAAAATATGCCGTTGGGTATTGGGATAGAACTTAAATTCTGAAATATGATATTAAGGTCACTGTTGGTTTCTAGGGTTAGCATATGGCGACTAGCCTAATCGCAGTCGACGTCGCTGTTAGTAATATTTTTATGGATAGACAACATACTCGCGAAAATGATCAACTTAGGTCTACCCACATATAACCGTAGGTCCAAATTGTTGATAATTCGAATGTTTCTTAAATTGCCTTTATGGGCTCGTAACCTGAGGGAGAATATCTCGCGAAAGTGCTATTATTATATAATGGCTTTGGCAAAACACTTTCGTAACTATAACACCAAATTTTAGGGATTTGGAAACCATGTGATTTGTTTTATTTTATGTTTTCCCCTCATAAAGATCACACCGACTTTCATATTTAGAGTTAACCATAGCCATTGTATTGCAACTCTTGTTAACAATAATATAAAATTATGCTCCTTAAAATCCCATTAGCGTTGCATTGTTGAATTAAAAGTAAAAATACTCCAACCATCAATAACGGATTATGTTTTATGCAAAATGTTGTTTGAATTAAATTAATTAATTAAATGCCGAATGCAAATATTATTCTGTGTTGTCAATAGCGATATTTGCTTAAATAATTTGGGAAAATAAATGGGAACTTGCTGTTATTCTAATATTTATGCTGTTCTAATAACAATATTTAAAGTAAACAACATGGTTTTTTTGAAAGTCTACTGAAATAATAAAAATTAGTTTCGTTTTCGCATTTTATGTTGGTAAATTTGTAACAAAAAAAGCTATTAAGTCGTCATCATAAACAAAACATTTGGTGAATTTTAATGCTGTTTGGTCATTTACCAGATATCCCAATGAGTGATGGGGACTTGATTTTACTAAAAAGTGACGCAGGTCGTTAATGTATTTATGTACGTGTTTTGAATGCCTCCTCCCCGCATTCTCGTCTAAACTTAGTCATCAATTATAAATGTTTCTTTGATTTTTTTTGTGAGACTCGAAAAGTAATTAATTCTTGTAAATTATTTCCTACCCGTGCAAATGTGCAAAATAATTCAAAATCAAAGTACAAAATATTCTCTGCGTGTGTGTGTGTGTGTGTGAGTGTACTTTTAATTAACACCTAAGACATGTATTAATTTGAAATAAATCGCATTTATTTCACATATGTGCCGCACACATGCCAGCCGATTAATGTCAGATCCAGTTCCCCACACCAGCTGCCTCTTCGCTTCTCCGTCCATTTGACGGGGCAGCTAATTTCAATGAAATTCATGTCCAGTTTTATATTATGCGATTTATGCGAATAGAATATTGTTGATATCAGCAAATTAAGAACGAGTTTCGCTTCATTTAACTTGTGACCCATTTCGAAATTGCGATGTTTGTTGCTTCTTTCTACTGATAGAGAGCCCGAAACCAAGAGACATTTCCTTGGTTGGCCCAATAATTCTTCTGTCAACAAATATATAATTCTTTGTTCAGCGTTTCTTTGTAGTTGACTTTTATCATTTAATGTCTGTGATAGGGAAATTCTTTTTATTTTGTTGTACTATTTATAATAACTTATTCTTGTCATATTCTTGATATGATGTTTTTACGACATACGTATATTTGAAAATATATTCGTGAGTGTTTGGAAATAAGTCGATTTACTCAAACCAAGCTGTGATTTGGCTCCCGTATGAGTCATCAAAAAAAAAAAAAAAGAAAAGTAAATAATGATGATAAATATAAGGTAATACACACGCGTAACATGAACAAAGAGAGTACCCAGTGGCCGGCTTTTTAAAAACGAAAGTCTTTAATTTCAATTCGGTATCGGTGAACCCAGTGAACCAATCTATACGAAAATAAATCTACCCCTTCAGTTGAGGAAATTAATATTAACAGTCGATTATTTTATGAAATTGAAATAAATAATAAAAATGGACTTGAATCTATACTTTTGCAGAATGAAATTCTTTACGAAATGATAAATTAGAGGTAAATCGGTTCGAGATCTTCCTAAATTCTTCAAAATTCCGATAATCAAGGGCCATTGAGTATCATCGGTCCACTCTTCTGGTATCACCCCTCCCCCCCCACAAAAGGTCAAAATGTAGTATTGTAGTTCCTATGAGGAGTCTCCAGATTTTATACTTTTTGATCAATTTTTGT